CATGCTGGAAGACACGGATCTGACCCCCATCGAGTTCCACAGGCAGCTTCTTGTCCACACCGTTCACCTGGGAGGCAAGAGATGCTACGCTTAAGAGGGGACACTTTGAAAAGGGTGGGTCAGTCTCTCAGATGTCCCTGCCTGACACTAAAGAACTGTGTGACCCAGCCAACCATGGTGGCACATGCCTATGATCCCAGGGCCCTGGAAGCCTGAGGCAGGAGGATCTCAAGTTATAGCTCAACTTGAGTAACTTTGCAAAACCTTATGTCAAAATTAAAAAAAAAAAAAAAAAATTAGAGGCCTGGGGAAGTAGCTTATTGTAAAGGCCCTGAATTTAATCCTTAGTCATAAATAAATAAATAAATAAATAGAGGTTCAACCTCATAGGGAAGGTATGTTCTTGTTTACATCCCACCTCCTGTGCATCTGGAGCTAAGGAGCACACATCAGATGTTACTGTAGGAGCTAAGGAACACACTGAATGACGTAAGGCAAGCCCTGGGCACCCAGGAAATTCAGCTGTTTATCAGAGTGCTCATCACAACTCCTACAGTGGTGTGTGCCTGCTCTTTAGCAGCATCTCTGGGAGATCCTTCCAGTGTAAACTGAAGTGCCAGTTTCCACAAGAGACCAAATCTGTTGTTGGTCAGAGCCCAGAACCCAGGCCACCTTCTCCCAGCACACGACCCTCAGTTCAAATCCTGCCCTTGTTAGGGGGCCTTTGGGCCAGTGATCAGACATCACCTTTAAAAAACACTGAAGCCAGTCTCAGTGCCCCTGGATACCATTGTGGAGGTGAAGTGCTTAACAGCCAACAAACTCCAGGGGCAGCGTGTGAAGTCCGTGGCTGGGGCACTGTTGATGTTATGGGAGAGATGAGATCGGCACCAATTGGGCCTTGGCCTTGTCCCCTCTCCCAACTCCCATTTTCTCATTGTGCCAAGCCCTCTGGATGGGTGGGGGACCAAGGAGATAGCGGGGCAGGACCAGGTTATGGTGGGGTATACGGAAGTGGAAGCAGACATATTCAGAGGGAGAGCCTGAGCCACCCGGAGCAGGTCCTGGTCCCTGAGGCCTCCTCTCTCCTCTGCTGTTTGCCAGCACCTTATGCTTCCCACATCTGCATGGCCCTGTGCACCCTCCTGGCTATGTGCTCACCTATCACACCCTCCCCTACAGGTCGCCTCCCCAAGGGCCCCCCCCTCACCGTGACTTTCCACTTGTTCTGCTCCAGGCGAATTGTGTAGTTGCCCACGAGGACCGTGATCACCCTGGTGGCACTGACATGCCCATTGCCCCAGGGTGCATTCTCCTGCAGGACAGTGAAGTTGTGCAGGCCTGGCCGGGTGCCACAGGTCTGAGCCAGCACGTACACACAGGTGCCCATGAAGTCGAAGCGGCGGCCGTCGAAGGTGGTATAGTGGGGGTCTCCTGAAGCTTCACAAGTGGTAGAGCCCACAGCCACACAGCCCAGGACACCATTGGATGGCTGGCAGGCCTCATGCGGGCCGCAGCTAGAAGGCTCACAGGACACCAGACCACCCGCCTGGCAGTGGCAAAGGGAGTCGCAGCCAGGCCCAGGGTAGAAGGTCTGGCCTGGAGGGTAGTAGGTGCCTTGATGCACGCAGCCACATGAGGCCAGTGGCACGCAGGACTCACCACTGAGGGCAAAGCCATCATCACACACACAGCCTTCATAGCATTCTGAGCCACAGCCCCCAGACACCGGGAGGTCCCCACAGGACAGTGGGCAGCCATAGGAACAGGACTCGTAGTGGCTGTGAGGAGGACAGCTCGGTGCTGTGGGAGAGAAGCTGTTAGCATCAGGAATTCTCATTCTAGGACAACACAGTTGATCCCCAAGATTCACAAGTACACACACACACACACACACACACACACACACACGTACAGATTGGCCCCACTGCATGAGCCCCTTTGCTCAATGTGGCCTGGTCTTATATTGTGTTATGTACTTTACAGGACTGCACGTGAAAACTATGCAAAGAAAAGCAAGTCATCAGGTGGGAGTGTCCTCGGACCATTTCTGTGTTCTGAACCTTGTACATACTGTACACAATTTCTCATTCAACAACCAACTGATTTAAGGGCCTTGTGGAAACAGGACTTGTCTGTGTTTTGGCCAACAAAGCATTAGCAAATGCAATATCAATCGGGGCTTTGAAAAGTGCATGTGTACCAGGCATAGGGTACACTCTTGTAATCCCAGATTACTGGGGAGGCTGAGACAGAAGGATCAAAAGTTCAAGTCCAGCCTCAGCAATATAGTAAGACCTACATTGCTCCAAATATAATTTAAAGTTGGCTCAGTGAAAAAACACTTGCCTAGATTATGCAAGGCCCTGAATTCTATCCCTGGCACCAGGGTGATGTATCTGCCCTGGGCTTATTCCTGTTCTTCATAATCTTGAGATCACCTTGCAAGGAAACCTGGGCCACCCTGCTAGAAGTTGAAGCCAAGAGGAGCAAAGACACACAAGCCCAGCTAATGTGCTCCCCCCGAACCATCAGTCTAACTGATAACTGCCAGATGTGTAAAGCCATCAGAGATCCTCCTGCCTCAGCTGAGCTGCCAGGAAAAATACAGAAATCAACAAATCTAGTCTAGAGTAAAAGAATAGCCCAGCAGCCCCTGGAATCATGAGAAATAATACAATTTGCTTTAACACACTAAATTTTAAGGGGCTATTTGTTACACAGAAGAAGCTAACTGATGCTGTGATTTTTAAAAAATGCTGGCATGGATACAAATATGTTACATCAGGCTAGATCATGTTGGAACTAAGAACCACTAGAACATCAGAAGACAAAGACTTTCTTTTTTCTCTTTACCTATTGTGACCCTAGTTCCTAGGACAGGACCTGAAATTTGATAAGTGTTTAACAAATGCAGTCACTGTTGCTAAGTGGCCAGGATATGTTCTGAAAAATAATGTGTTATTAGAATATTTTGTGGCCAGGCATAGTGGTTTTCCAAGTACTGAAGGAGGGAGGGTCACAAGTTCAGCCCAGCCTGGGCAATTTAGCAGCTTAGTGAGACCCTGTCTTGAAATAAAAACATTCAAAAGGGATAGGGATATAATTTAGTGCCAGCACTCTGGGTTCAACTCCCAGTATCAAAAAGAGAGAAAAGGTTTTGTCGTTGTGTGAACATCAGTGCACTTAGAGAAACTAAAAAGGCTACGATACTACTAGAAGATAGAATCTAAAGGGCCACCATTATATATATGGTCCATCCTTGTCCAAAACATCCTTATATGGCATCTGACTATATTCGTTAGATGAATGCGTGGATGAAAGAATGTAAGTTGGAAGATAAAGCAGGATTGAGTGACAATTGTGTATTTATTATGCATGTTGTCGGTGGGCAGTGATGGTGCTACTACCTGCTGTGGATCTACTGAAGACATTCAAAAGAGTAACGTAATTCAGGTAGCAACTGGATATTTTCTGAGGCAGGGTCTCTGTACTTCAGGCTGGCCTCGAACTCACTACGTAGCCCAGGCTTGTGGCAATCCTCCTGCCCTGGCCTCCCAAGTGCTGGGATTACAAGCACATGCCACTATGCCTGTCTACAAAAACTGGATTTTTATTCAATATTATATAAATCATTGTGGAAAACTACATGATGGATATCTGAGGGTAACATAGCTCTGGGAACCTAGTATTTCTTTTTTCTTGAACTTGTGACTGCAAAGATTTGACAAGGTGCTAAAATTGATCCATCTGTTTGCTTATGGTAGATACATATTTTAAAATAAATGCATTAAATTTTTGTTTGTTTTATGGCACTGGAAATTGAACTCTGGACCTTTCACCTGCCAGGCAGGTGCTTGTGCCGCTGAGCTGTATCCCCAGCTAAACTGTATTCAATTTTGATAGTAAATTTAAAGTGAGGCAATGCGTGGCTTTCTAAATTTCTTTGATAGCAAACAGAAATCTTTGCAGACCATTTCTGCATTCACATTTTGTCTCTCCTGTGTGTGTGTGTGTGTGTGTGTGTGTACGTGTGCACGCATGCTGGGTGATAGACCCAGGGACTTGTGCATGGTAGGTAAGTGCTCTACCACTGAACCACACCCCTAGCCCTTTTTAGTTTTTAGTTTGAGGTAGCCTTTTGAGACTGGCTGGCCTCAAACTCTCTGACTTCCTACCTCGCCCTCCTGAGTAGCTGGGATTATAGGAAACCAAGGTTCTCCCATGGCCTTTAAGGGGTCAGGCAGATGCTGTAAGTGGGCAGAGCAGGCCGGATGGGGATCAAGAGGAGAGGGGACCATGCTCCTTCTAAACGCAGTACTGCTCTGAATGACAACCATTTTACAGAAATCAGACTTGGGCACTAGGTATGCCCTGTCCTTACATGACTGAAGGTCTCCTGTCTGTGACATCCTAGCTTTCATGATTCCAGGGGTGCAACTAAAAGTTTCTAAACCTCGGTTTCCTCGTCTGATAAATGCATATAAGCACAATCACCACGTCACGGGGCCCTTGTAAGAGCTGAAACGCGTGGGGGAGCCCGTTAACGAGAAACGTGAGTTTGCACCCCCACGTGGCCACTCTCGGTACTCACGGCAAAGCTCCTCGCTCCTCCAGGGATGCACTGTAGCCCCCGCAGCCTGGCAATCGG